CTGTATACATTCTAAGTGTGATCACAGCCTAGGTTTGTGAAATAGGATCTTGATGGTTTTATTTTTTATTCCATTCTTAATTATGCCCAACATGGAGTTTGTCTTCTCTTCGCCAGTAGCTTCTTTCACACTGGTCACCAAACACGCTGCAGTGCCACTTTTCCTAACCACAGTGCCCTTTGTAGCCGAGCTGTTGTGGTACTGAGTAACCTCCAAGCATAAGGAAGGGATTTAATCTTCTTAGCTCCCCCTTTCGACTTCTTTTTTTAACCAGTTCCCTCTCTTTAAGGAAGCGTCTGTTCTTAAACTCAACTATGACTGTGTTGGACTTCCTCAGCAAGTTTCTGGTCAAATATATATTTAAACCTAGAGCAGCATGGTCACTGTTTCCTACTGGTTTGACCATACTCTCATCTCATACTAGGTCCACGAGATTAAATCGTGGGTCGGTCACTTCCTCTCTGCTTTGTTTGGGGACCAGCTATTCTAGACACAATCACTGAGGGCATCCACAAATGTAACCTCTTTGTCATGACTGGAAAATGCATTTCTCTGGTTGTGGTGTGGTGTGGGGTAATTGGAATCATATGATACAGCAACACTTCCCCATTTGGATATTTCCCTGATTTTGTTTTCTATTTCAAGATTATGTATGTATGTGTGTATGTATGTATTTATTAGATTTATGTCCCGTCTTATTCTTTTCTTAAGAATGCGAAGTGGCTTAGATCATTCGCCCCCTTTTTTACCTTGAATTTTCTGGCTTGGAGGTCGATCGCATGTTCTTAGTGCTAACAGAGTTTTGCAGTCAGGTATTATCACTCACAGCACTTCTATGGGGGAATCTTCCAGTATGTCCTTCTTTGCCCTTTCTGTAGAATTTATAGCCAGAGATTGCTGCATCTCACTGGTTCTCTCCATGCCTCCAGGTTCTTCTTTAAAACCTGCTCACCCGTCGTGGCTCAGAAGTTTAGGATTAACATAGAAACACAATGCATGGAGTCTCTCCAAATGTTTAGCCTAGGCCTAATCTACAATGACCACTTACACCTCTTTGACTGGCTATCATGTTTCCCCAGATGCTCCCTGTCTGTTTTCTCCCCATGTCCATTTGGGTAATCTGAAACCTTTTCCTCTTCATCCCTTTGGGATCATTAAACCCAAGCAGGATGCTTTTGAGTGCCTCTCAGCTGTTCCCCAGGTTAATTTTTAAACCTGCTCTGCCCCCTTTTCATGCATCCAGTTCAACAAGCAGGTCCCATTTTGATTCAGGCAGAGGCTAGCACTCTTGCACAGGCCCAGCTTGTCTCAAAATGTTCCCCAGGACTTAACAAATCTCAACCTCTTCTCCATATGCCACCGCCTCACCCACAATAGATGTCTCACCTTTGTCTGCTGACAGAATCTCGGTTTTCCATTTGTGAGGTGGAAGTAAAAACTCTGGTTCCTGAGAAAGATCAGCCATTTGAACCTCCGCTGCTTTATTTGCATAAGCCCAGGTTTCCTGCAGGATCTACTCAGGACTCAGCTGCAAGGTTTCAATACAAGTACAGAGCATTTTATACTCTCCTGGTCATGTACACAAATACAGAGCAATAGATGACAGAATGCGGACTTTACAATGAGATTCTGAGGTCATCGTTTACAGAACAAATAAGGAAGATGGCCAAACACACAGTGACAATGAGATTACAATATTTCTAATTGCAGTGTATTGATATTTCAGTTGAGTAAATTCCAGAAACTTGAACCCATCTCTGAGTCTGCTTAGGCATGTCAATTCAGGTTATTCCCTGAATTCTTCCTTGGATCATAAGCCCCTGTGTTACATTCTGTTATCAGGAAGTCTGAGACCCTGAGTAATGGATCCGCACCTTTCCGACTGGCCAGGCTGCATGAAGTGCTCTGGGCTAGCAAAATAGGTACTTCTGGGTAAACTCTGAATTCTTGCAGGGATTATGTAGCTACATTGTGAATGTATATAATGTATATTCGACTGAACGGCCTGTCTGCTCTGGCTTAGAGAAGGGAGCTGGGAGGAGTGCCATTTTAAACAGTGACTTTGCTTGGAAAGCTGGTGCTTTTGAGAAAGAGTGCAGATTTGATTTTATAACACAAAAGCATTCCAGAGAAAGCTGCCACTTTTATACCGCTTGATAACATAAACTCTCTAAGCAGTTCATTTAACCATACAGTACAAAAGAACGTAAACTAAATGCATGAAAGCATGACAGAAATAATAAAAGAGCAGCAAAATTGCACATCAAGGAAGGTGTGGGGGAATGGGTACATCTCCAAGAGGCATCTAAAGTTCAACATTTCTGCTTCTCAGGGCACACTTTGGCATCCATATAGGGGGTCCCAAGCCGTTTAGGGGCTTGCATGCCAACAAGAAAACCTTGAACGTGGTGTGGTAGCTAGTAGGTGGCCTTAAGGAAGCCAGCCTCTTTCTTAGCCTCAGTGACTGGGTCCAAGCAGTATCTTAAGTTGCAGTAGTTTATAAGCCAAGGTGATGTCTGAACCCAGCAGTGCGTTGTAAGCCACTGTCAAGTCAAAAAAGCAGATATCCCCTTGCAAGAGTCACAAAAAAGCTTGCTCTAGCCAGCTTTTCCAGGCCTCCATAGTGCTAAAAGCAACACTGGAGACAGCTGGGAAAGGTTTGTCCCCCAGTGACCAGAAGGGGGATACTTCACAACTTGGGCAAGCCCCTGTATGCATGGGGGGGGGGGCAGGCTTGTCTCTTTAAATTGTTTACCTCTTTGGGGGTTTCTCTCAGGTTTTGCCTCTGCCTGAGCTGCTCTTGACTTGGGGACCATTGGGTAACCCCCCAGACTACCCTGGGGATCATGCTTGGAAGGGAGGAGAACTGAGGTGTTCCCCAAAACACTTTTGAATAGGTTAATAGATGTTTTCCAGGATGGGGGGTGGGGATGGGGGGGTGGCATTGTGCCTCTGTGTTATCCACACTGGAGAAGGTGAGGGCAGCCCAGGGCCCTGCAAGCACACCGTCCAAAACCCCAAGGATTCTGCTGGAAAGGCTGCTTTCTGCAGTGACACACCTTTAAAAAAGGGTTAAAATAGCATTTTGAGAGTTGCAATTGGTGCCAGCAAGTGGCCATGCCAGACTGCAACTGTGCCGAAAGCACCCTTTGCAGACAACGTTCAGGCTTTGTAGGGGGGATCACATGGCCCTGGGCTGCTCTCTCTCTCCTTCCCACATATGGCTAGCACAGCGCCACGGAGTCAAGCCGTGGTCGGCGCTCACTGGCTTTCGGCAGCTCGGGCCTCCTTTCCCTGCCATGGTGTTTTCTGAGGGGGAACAAGAAGGGAGAAAGTTGGACACGACGCCCACTGCGTCCAACAGCGCACAGTTAAAATTCCCAAGGGGTTTAACAGGTTGTGTGAACCTAGCTGGTCTCTCCCTCAGTAGAAAATAATAGTGGTATAATATTGGGATCTGGGCAGGAGAAGGCCACTGGACCAGAAAGGACTGCTGGAGGCATTCTTAGTGGCCCAGGCAAATACCTCCCTGGTTAACGAAATTACAAGGAAACTGCCAGTGGTGACTAGGAATTAGCCAGAGACTTGCTCTAGAAGATTGGAGCCATTTTGGAGCCGAGTGTGCTATTCTCCCCTCGCCTCAGCTGGGTCCAGACCTCTGTATTTGAAGAGAAACCGCAAAGTGAGTAAAACTGTGAACGATGCAGATAGAGTGCTGTCTTTGGACTCCTGTGAGCTGTCTCCCCAACAACCTCCTTCCTGAACTGAGTGCTCTAAAACATGTTTTAGACAAACTCCCATCTGCCCAGCCAGCATGGCCAATAGTCAGGAGTGTCTGGGTTTGGCAAGCAAAACCTCTGGAGGCACCAGATGGGGGAAGATCTGATATGAGCGAATTTATTTATTCATTCATTCATTCATTCATTCATTCATTCATTTATTTATTTATTTATTTGGGACATTTATATGAGCGAGGTAGACCTAGCCTACCTCACAGAGTTGTTGTGAGGATAAAAATGGAGACTGTGTCAGAGCCTTGAGTTCCTCCCAAGGGGAAAAAAGGCAGAAATTTAAAAAAATATTATTTACGGCTGCATTTATTCTGCGTTTTTCTCTCTGACAAGTACCCAAGGCAGGGCAGCTTAACTGATCCTCCTCTCAATATTTATCCTTCACAACCCTGCGAGGTAGGTTAGGCTGAGAGTCAGTGACTGCCCCAAAGTCACCCAGTGGGCTTTGTAGTCAGGTGGGGACTAGAACCCCCCAGTCCAGTGCTCTGACCACCATGCCATACTGACTCGTGTGTATTTTAAATAATTTTTAAGAAAAAGAAACTGGCAGTTCTGCAGAGACTTTTCTTTCTTTAGCATTGTGTGTGTGTTTAAGGCACACCTCCCATTGTGTGTGTTTTGATTGCTCAAGGAGGAGCTCCCCTTCCAAATCAGGGCTAGCCCCACTGCTTCCACAGGCCTTTGACTACTGCTCTGCTCTTCTGATAAGAAGCAAGCCGCTCCTATCAATGGCAAATGCCAGCCAAAGAGGCAGAAAGTGGCTAGTGTGTTGAATGAGAACCGGAGTTTGAGGGGTGTGGGCAGCGGAAGGCTTCCATTGGGATTAACCTTTTTAGGGCTAATGGGGCAGGATATAAATCAAATAAAAAGATAAATTTTATTTATTTATTTATTAATTATAGCATTTTTATGCTGCCCCTGTTGCAGAAAGCCTCGGGGCGGCTTACAAAGCAGACAAACAAACATAGAATAAACATTAAAAATCCGGAGCATCTCGGCAATAGTATAAACCAGTAAATAAAAAGAACAATTAACAATTAAAATATTGTTTAAATAAAAAGGTCTTGGCCTGGCGCCAAAACACAAATAACGACGGCGCCAGGCAGAGCTCTCTGGGGAGTGCATTCCATAGGTGGTCCAAATATATTTGTCCACAGAGGCAGGATTGTAGTTCACACAATCTCAGATTTCAAATTTGGTGTTTCACAGCCGGGGAGACAATGGAGGCCAAAGCGGCAAGTCTAGAAGTAGAGGAGGATCCCAAAGGTCTCAGGAAGCCCTCTGGCACAGCCCTTTCCAGACGCACCAAGGAGCAGCCTGGATGGAGAGGCCTGCAAGAGGCTAAACAGGAGTCCTGCAGAGGGGTGCAGCAGCGCTGGGAAGCCCAGTGGCAGGAGTTCCTGAAGACGCTGCAGTCACCCTGCGTCGTGTGGGAGAACCCGGAGGTCTCGGAGGCGGCTCCCTGGGACGATGCCAAGGCCTTCCTGGCCTCCTTCGAGCAAGTGGCCAAGGCCTGCCGGTGGCCTCGGGGAGAGTGGGCGGCCCGGCTCCTGCCAGCGCTGAGCGGAGAAGCCCAGCAGGCCTTCAGTTCCTTAGAAGCAACAGACAGGGAGGACTATGAGAAGGTGAAGGCCACCATCTTGCGAGGGGATGCGATCAAAATGGAGGTGCAGCGCCAGCACTTCAGGCAGTTCCGCTACCAGGAGATTGAAGACCCGCGAAGGATTTACAGCCAACTCCAGGAGCTTTGCTGCCAGTGGCTGAAGCCGGAGCGGCACAGCAAGGAGCAGATCCTGGAGCTGCTGATCCTGGAGCAGTTCCTGGCCAGCCTGCCGCCCGACCTCCAGGGCTGGATCCGAGCGGGAGGGCCGGACTCCTGTTCCCAGGCGGTGGCCCTGGTGGAGGACTTCCTGATGAGCCAGCAGGAGACAGAGGCAAGGAAATGGGAGGTGAGGTTTTGCTGTCTAATCCTCTGAAGCTTCAGTGGGATATGGATACTGAAATGGATGGGATTTCTTCCATCTTTCTGTATGTTTGGCATTTATGTTTTGTTTCTTGTAGGTATGTTTTGGCCCAGAGAACATACTCCTTTTTTCTGGGTGGTCAACACACTAGAAAAATCAGCATAGCCTGCTCCTGTGCCTTTAACACCTGTGTGTCATGCAGGAATCAGCAGATTAAACCCTTCATTGCACAGCAAAGAGGAAATAATAATGACCTGCTAGCATCAGCATATCATAATGCTGTTCTGCACAGGAACAGAGGCCAGTGGGAAAAGTTGGCAACTCTTAATTCAAAAATGGGGAGAGGATAACCGAAGCAAAGGTTAAAATTGGTTGCAAATGTTTAAATAAGGTTTAGACAACCTGGTACCCTCCAGTCTACAGTTCCCATAATCCCTCACCATTGCCCACACTGAATGGTGCTTATGAGAACTGTAGACCAAAACATCCAAGAGACAAGAGTTTCCTTACATTTGGTTGCTGCTGCAGCTGGTTTCAGCTTTACTGTGAATGATCAGTTCTGCCATTTTTTTCAAATTAGGGTTGCCTGCTTTTTCCACTGACTTCTGTTTCTGTGCTGAACAACACATTTTAAAGCACTTGGGAAGAAGTTGCCATTGTTTGGTGTTACTACCAAGAATCCTCCATCTTTGCTGTTCCGTGGTGACTCTTTCAGTTAATGTAATTTATTTGATAACACGTGGTGTGTGCCATCCAGGACATTTCCAAAGTTCAAAAATGGCGGTGGTTCCCCTCCAAATAAGAGGTTACAGTTAAGTTTTGAGGACTGGGGAGCAACCGGTGATGGGAGCAAGGTCTGCATGTGCTACAGAGCTACTCAGAGAGCTTTGGCTGTAGGGCGGTATAGACATGCAAATGATGCAGTTACACATGTTGAGCTTCATTGCAGCTTGAATGAATAGCAGGACTCAGAGGGCAGGCCTCCTCCGTGTTAGCATCCCGGCTTTTCAGTTCCAGCCTGAACAAGGGGTGCTTTTTTTCAGGAGCCATTGCACGAGCAGACCAGTGGTGCCTCGGATGTGGAGGGAGCTCTATCAGAGGCTGACCCAAAGCGAATCCACAGAGAAGCCAAACAGAGCACTCACGGGGAGGTCGGTTTGCTTGGTAAGGGCGACTTCTTTTATATTGTTATTAATTTTATATTGTTATTTTTGTATTTTATTGTATTTTATTGTGTTGTAAGCCGCCCCGAGGCTTTGGCAAGGGGCGGCATAGAAATGTTTTAATAAATAAATAAATAAAAATAAATAAATAAGTGCTGAACAAGGATATTAAGGCTGCCCCAGAGCTCAACCTTTTCCAAGCTCATTGTCTTCCAGATGTGTTGAACTTCAAACTCCCATCATTCCCAACCAACGAGACTTACTATTTTATTTCAGCATTAGAAAAGACAGAAGGGAAAGTTATTGCTATGTATTTATCTTGCCAGAATTTGCCGTTCTTCCTGCCTCTCGTTGTGTTTTGGCATGCAGACTGTCAAAGGTGTTTTAAAAAATCTGTTCCCACTGTCAGCTGCCTTGAAGTTTCTGTAGGGATGGAGGGAGGGGAAGGCTTTGCACCTCAACAAAGATACCAAGGAGCTAAGAAAAGAAATGAAACGAAAAGAAAAAAGAAAAGAAAAGTGAGGCAAAGGAGCAACCAAAATACTATGCCTGGAGAAACTTCCCTGGGAGAAATAATACTAATTTTAAGGGATTTCTCATTTTCAAAAACAAGTAAGGGAAGACATGATGGAGGTGTGCAAAAGTGTGCATGGCTTGGTTACGGACTCGTTCTCCTCTGTCACTCTTATCACAGTAAAACCCATGAAATGACTGTTGGGACATTCAAGACAGATAAAAGAAAGGATTTATTTTACAGTGAGTGAATCTGTTTCAGCAAGATTAGTGATGGCCATCAATTTCTATGGGTTAAATGGAAGATTAAAGAAATATTTTCCAGATTTGCTTTATAAAGGAAAATGTGTGAGGTATAGCAGCCTTTTCTCTCCCGTCCTCCCTCCACAAGAAGAATGCATTTCAAGATGTAGCAAAAATCTGTTTTATTCGAGACAAACCCAACATGTTTCTACCCAGTTTTATTAAGAGGCCTTCTTCAGTAAAACAGATAATACATTAGAGGTGCAATTTTAAGCACGCTTAGGCAGAAAAACGGCCTACATCTGCCAATATGCATAGGATTCTATAGAATACTAACAATTCAGAAAAACATGTATACAGTGTATAGTTTAATGTATTGTGTTGGGTTTATCAAGGAATAAAACATAGTCTTTTTCAGGATCCTGAGACATGTGCATTCTCCTTGTGGGTTTGCAGTGAATGCTTCCTGCATCCAGTTTTCTGCATCCTGCTAACATCCTTCCCAACTCTTCTGCTGCCCACCTTTGGCTTTGGTTGTTTTTAGGATGATGGGATTGAGCAGTCTTCCTCCTTTCCTCTTATAAAAACTCCCTTCTGCCCTTTACAGGAAGCGGAAGCCAATGCCTCAAGGAACCCAATTCATTGCTTCCTCCTGAAGGAAAAGAAACTGCCAAAGCTGGTCGGTCTGAGGTATGTAAAACCGGCCTGCAAAACCAGGGCTGTCCATGAGCTGGGCTCACTATCTGCCAGGAAAATCTCGATTGGGGATGGTTGTTGTTGTCATAACGTGCTGACAAATTGTCTCTGACTTATGACGACCCCATAAATGAAAGCCCTCCAAAATGCCAGCCCTGCTCAGCTCACGTAAATTCAAGGATTTGGCTTCTTTTATGGAGTCGATCCATCTCATCTTTTGCCTTCTTGTTTCTCTTCTGCCTTCAGTTTTCCCAAGCAAAATTGCCCTCTACAGGGAGTTTTGCCCTCTCCTATCTTTGAAGTATGATAGCCTCAGTCTGGTCATTTTTGCTTCTAGGGAAAGCTCTAGATTCATTTGCTCTAGGACCCCTGTTAGTTTTCTGTTGCTCCAGGATATTTGCAAAGCTCTCCTCCAGCATGTCTGAATGTATATGCCCTCATTTCTTATTTTAAAAGCATTCCCAATGTAAGTTGAAAGAATTTCTATTCCTACGATGTTTTCCTGTTCCCCACCTATGCTGTAAGGCATATACCGTATTTTTCTGTCTATAAGACGCCCCCATGTATAGGACGCCCCCCACTTTTCCTACTGATCTCCGGCGAGCGAGCTGCTGCTGCGCGCCGCCCTGCCACCTCCCCACGCGTGCGTGTGATCATGCCAGTCTCCCCCCACCCCCCCAAGCATGCCCGCAGTTCTCCTCTTGGTCCCCTGTGTATAAGATGTACCTCCATTTTTAGGTAAATGTTTTTAAGAAAAAGTAGCATCTTATACACGGAAAAATACGGTATTTGTGCAGGTCTGTGCATATTCAGACAGTATTTCCCTTCCCACTAGAATCTTGTGACTCCGTAGAATGTTTGGCATGTTGATGGTGCTCTACAAATAGGAATATTCTCCTGTTTTCAGGGACCAATGAGCCTCCAGGAAACAGGGGTGCCATTACACGTGGTCGAGCCAGCTCCAACCCAGCCGGGCCAGCGGACCATGTTCTGGCAAGTCATGCAGGAAGAGGATGGGGATGCAGATTCCTTGGGTAAGTGTCCTGCCCAATCAAGTCTAGGACGCGTCTCGTGTCTGCACTGCCATTTCAAGCATTTGAAAAAGAGATGAGTGTTTGATCTGAGATGCAAAGTGGGCCTGTACCCTGTTAGGCCATTTGACAGTGCTTGCTGAGCACCTGCTTTGAATGGAGATGGTGCCAGGTTTTATCCCCACCTCTCTACCTTCATTGCTGAGCAAGGTAAGGCATTTCGGAGGGGTTTCTTTCATAAGTCGAAGATGACTTAATGGCACATGATGCAACATCTCTAGGTTGGGCCAGAAAAACTGCGTCCTGAAACCCTGCGGCTTCTTTAAAAGGAGAAGCATATGTTTAAAACATACATTTTGAGACTGTCTGAGGGTTGTTTCTTTTTGAGAGGAGGTTGTTGCATGGATAAATCCTGTAATGGATCAGGCTTTGATATTCAGTGATGTACCTGCTCTTGCCTGTCTCACAGATGTTAACAGATGAAAGGGCAACTGGATTAGCTGTGACTTTTCGACAGATGAAAGGCTGATCTTACAATATTGGAAGGCTAAACACCTCCTAAGCACTCAGTATTTGAATACAGACGTCACCTTGAAATGGATGCTTACTTGGATAGTTGGCCTGCTTTCTTGAAGCTTATCTGTAATTACTGGGAAACTCTCTGTATTACATTTATTTAAAAAGCAGAATTTTTGTTTAAAAGTGTTGTTTTTAGGTGCCCTTAGGGAGGCCTTTGTCGGTACCATGGGAAGAACACCATGATACCAGCAGCCGCTGCATGGGGAATCCCTGCACCATCTAGTTGTAATTCTTACCACATTCTTTTAAGGCATACTATCTTTTGAGACTCAGAAAGAGCGGCTTGTCAAAGGCCATCTAATGAGCTCATCACAGAAGCAACCAAACTGGATCCTTCTTGAGTTGTCCCTGCATCTCTTAGCAACTGCATTACACAAGCTCTCCTACTGGGCATCCCACATACGTACAGCAAACTCAGTCTCACCCGACAGCACCTTCCACACACGAAGAAGGCGGCTTGGGGAAGTCCTGAGCTTCGCACGTGCATCAAAACTATTTCAGACGAAAAGCGGTAACGTTAACGGGCTGTGTCCGACAGGAAAAGGAATGGTGGAAACAGGCCGGTGGGTGTGCTCAGGAGACACAGGAAGCTGTCTGTTTTTTCAGGGGCATTCAGGAAATCTTGGACTGGGCAATATGGAATGGAATATCCTGAAATGGGCATGGCTGGCTAGCTGGAATTCTAAACAGGAGCCCTGCATGCTGCATCAGGTGGTTGCAGCTCCCGCGTGCCCTTATTCTGAGTCAGGCCATTGATCTGCCATGCAGAGCAGGTGGCTGAAGAGGCACGCCGAGTGGTGCTTCAGGCAGGTATCCAGCTTTGCTCGTCCTTCTCCCTGGAGAGGGTTGGGAACTGACCTTCCTGTCGTGGGAAGTTTGCGCCCCACTGTGGAACCATCACGAACGTTTCCTAAACGAATGTGCTGGCCAGCACCGCGGATGCGTGTGGCTTTTGAGAGCCTGCTCAACATGGAATGGATGCCTCACTGCCCCATCAAGCTCCCAGCATGCGGTGTGTGGGACGGCAGCGGGTGCGGAGACAAAAGCAAGACAGGAAGGGAGGAACGAAAAGTAAACGCAGGTGCTACACATGCCAGTTCCAGCTGGAAAAGAGCGCAGGGACCTCACCACGAAGGTCTTGGAGAAAAGATGTGTTTCGAGGTGGGGGTGGCATGAGGTGAGGCGTACATAGGGTTTTTGCTGGATTCTTGAATGGTAGCATTTATTGCTACAGGAACGTCCTTACATCTTCAGACGGTGTAAATTTGGTCATAAGAAGAAATGTGGCTCGATGATGACGGTCTGTGCTAACTGGCCATTTCAGTGGGCTTTTTCTGCTTTTCCTTTTCTTGCGCACTGCTGTCTCCCTCTTGGGGCCGTCAGTGGCCCTTGCCTCTCTGCCTGCTAATCCCTTTCCATGACAGTGCCTGGAAAGTGAATGGGTCGCTAAACGTGCCGATAGGTGTGAAACTGGTGGGGATTTGTTTTAATGGCTGTGGATGCCACCAAGGAAACAAATCACCCTGTGAAGCACAGCGGAAGTAATGGTGCACCCTGGGAAGTCCCCGGGAAAAGTGGCTTTTGGGAAGACTCCCTAGCAGGGGAAAAGGCCGCATGCTTCCCAAAACACCACTGTGTTACTTTGAGACAGGACAGATCAGCCAAATGCTTGCAGAGTTTGCAGTATAAACCAGGTTCCTGGGTTGAGGATTGGATTTTTAGACATGGAAATAAAGAAATGGGAGAAGATTGTCCTAATTGTCTTGCTGCTGTTGCTAGGAGAATAGAGCTTGCTTTCCCCCATCTCCACTTTCTGTTTGGATCTCTACTGCCTGGTTTGATGAACCAATTGGTGGGGATCAAATTGAGACAGAGATGTACTTCTCTCCAGACAGCTGGGATGATAAAGCAGAAAAATAATTCAAACTGAAATGGAGATGATAAAAATCAGCAACATAGGACAAAAGGCCATGTGCTCACAGAACAGTAATCCAGGATTCCGGTGAATTAATTGCCTGTATATTCCAGCCGGTGTGAGCAGCTAACCAAATGAGAAATGGTTGTTTCCCTTTTCATTCTGACTTCTTGCGTTCTTTACAAGCCAGTATCATAAACTAGGGTTTGTTTGTTGCTTATTAATGCTTATTTGTTTGGGAACAATAAGACACGATCCTAAGTTTGATTGGCACACAAGCAAATAATTTCTGTTTTGTTCAGACCTTTGCACTGGTGAGAACAAGTGTGCGTAAGAGCAACCAGCCTATTCACAGTAAGCCAAGATTTGCTGGTATTCCGGCATATCATTCCATCAATATCCAGTGTGTCAAGGATAATGGTATGTTTTTCTCTGTCAACTCAAGAGGGACTGCTGGTTCCCAAACCTGATCTCACCGCCCAGCCAGAAGAAGAGGAGGAGCAGGTGTTCATCCAGTTTCCTGTAGAAAGCGAGAGACTCCCAGGCCAGGACTCGGGTAAGGGGATAAAGAAACCTATCTGGCAATACTTGCAACTGAAGTACAACTCTTGAGTTTCCCCTCCTTGTCACTGTTCTCCCAGAATGCATGTTTCTGACTCTGCTCTTTAGCCAAAACCAACGTCCAGAGCAGCTTACACACAGTCATTAAAAACAACACAGTCCTTGCCCACAGACTTCGCAACTCCAAGACACAACACAAAAGGAAAAGGGGTGAGGAAGGAAGAGGAATACAGCAGTCACTGAAGTCAAATAGTAGTTCTTGTAATGACCAGCTGGAATGGAAACTGCAGGAATGGGAGGAGCTGAATGGAACTGGTCTCCCAGCAGAGCCGATAGAACACCCCCCCCCCCGCCCTTCCCTGTGTCTCTGCTGCAGACTGACTGAATGGTCACCACAGCTGAGGGTGGGAGGAGCTGATGGAGTTGCCCTTTTCCTGTTTCTCCTGCTGTTGCAGATTGATGGAATCTCTGTAGCCAGTTGCGGGAGGCAGGGAGCTGTTTGGTGGAGCTGTTCTCTAAACACAACCGATAGATTGGCCCTGTTTCCCTTCTCTGCAGCAGCAGAATGAATTATCCATAATGTGCAGAGACCTGCCGATGACCACTTTGAATGACTGGTGTGCATCACTTGAAATGAAATGAAACGAACTGAACAAAAACATCCAGTTTCTGGCCGTTTATGAATGCAAAGATACGTTCGAATGTGTATGGATAATGTTGTACGAACTCTCAGAACATGGGCAGCTGCTTGGTATGAGTTGGATGGTGAATCTAAATAGACCAAGGTGGTTGGCTCTGGATCAGCAGCCAGCGCGCACAGAAATCTCTCCTGGACCCTCCCCCTGAGATGCGAGAGAATGAATTTGGGTTCCTCTGAAAGCGGTGCGTGTGCTGTTCTCCTGAGGCTGCACTTCCCATGACGGGAAAGATGGGTTTGTCCTTGTGTGTTATAAGGCAGAGAAATTTGCCTTGTGTGGATGTGCTCTGTTTTTATTGGCGTTCCCTGTAACGTCTGCTCTTCCCAGGGAGTGTTGTTGCTTTTTCGCTCCACTGTGACGACGGTATTCTGTCCTGTGCGTCTCTGACTGCCAACGTTTTAGTGTTGTGACTTGTCCCGCCTGATTTACCCCTGCTGTTCCTGTCCTGCCATCCACTGATCTCCTTTTCCTTTCAGCACTCTTTCGAACGGTAAAATTAAAAAGTAACTAACAGTGCCATATTTAAACATGACTCTTTGCCCCTGTTGTTCGTGTCCACCATTTTTCCTGACCGGGGATTTAGTCTCACCTCACCTTCGGATGCGGCCTGCGGCTCCTGGGGAGGGGCTTCGTTCTCGCAGGCTTCCTCTGGCCCAGTCTGGGATTTCACTTGCTCACACTGAAAGCCTCCCCGCTGGACGGATGATGAAATCTGTGCCTGTATTCAGACTGGGGAAGACAGCTCAGTGCAACGGGCCTCTTCTCCAACCGCAGGGTGGTCTGCCCGTGCCAGTGGGCTGCAGGTCAAACGAGGGCCCTTTTCCGGCGAACTGAATCCGTCCCTGCACTTTTGAGCAGGACCTGCTGGTCGTCCATGTCATCAGGCACGGCGGCGTCTCCCATCACCTCGTGGACCACCAGTGTGAAAGGATAACGCAGCAGGTCGGGCGGCCGCTCCCCGGCCTTCAGAGCACGCAAGCGAGATCATCTCCCCTCTCCCAGTGGAACAGAAATTTCAGGTTGGTGCTGCTTTGCTTTTGCCCCCCACCCCCCAGTGAAGCCCTTTTGACTTTCTGTGCACCTTTGCATTTAACCCTTAATCTACACAAAAATAACACAAGTTGTCCCCAGTTTAAATTGCTGCAACCTATATACACACATCACGTGCATGTATGTATGCATACACATCAACACCATTTCCTCCCCCGCAGGGCTCCCGTTTCTCCATTTTGAAAATCCAAGTGGGTGTTCTGGGGGCCCCTCGTGAGAAAGTTGCGTGTCTCACAACGGTCCACTCATTTCACGGCTATGTCGAGCTTACGGACTTTCATTTAGTGCAGACTGTCCCACCCCACCATTTCCCCTTTTTCCCATTTCCTCTGGGCTTGGGCACCAAACAAGCATCTGCATGGGCGCACTTAGCCGCTGCCGTTAATAACCCAAACCGTAAGCTGATCTTTGCATCACTCCACTTAGCGTGGGCGGCAGCGTCTGATCGCACGTCGTGTCACCGGCGGTCGTAGAAGCAACTGGGCGTCGGCAGGGAATCGTGTCCAAAACACACGGGGGCGTTATTTTCCCAGCCCAAAGCTACCCCTTCAAGTTGCACTGGTTTATTTATTCCAGTTACATTTTGTGGCCTTCCTCCGGCACTGAACTTCTCCCTTATCTCTCTCACACTACATGCACAAAATCCAAGGCATTTGGAGATTATTTCAATACTTTACAGCCCCTTTGCCCCACTGTGCAAATGGGTTTACAGTCTATTATAGATTATATTATATCGATCGAATGTTTGTTTGTTTATTTAAAACATTTCTATGCCGCCCCCATCACAACAAAGCCTCAGGGCGGCTCACAATGTTTGCCTCCTGGACTTCCCCACCTCCAGGTAATTTTGCTGGGGACTTTTTTTTACTCCATCTTCACAACACAGTTTTAGATCCACTTTTTCTGACCTGCAGTTGGAATTGTGCTTCTTTGCTTCTTAATTTTTATACCATCCAGAAAGCCTGCTTGTCTTGTACACAGGTCAGAGAGCTTTGGCTATTGGATGGTATAGAAATGAAAGAAATAAATATTTTGTCATCCTTTGAAGCTCCCTGGGCAATTCTCAACAAGGTTTTAACCACCTCTTGTATCCACAAGCCATGGCCCAAGGAATGTTAGCCTAAACCCCAATCATTTCAACACATCTAAGATAACTAATAATTTGCCCACTAAAATGTAGCATCCTTTTATACACACCCAGAGCTTTGGGAAGGGAGGCGCTTTAAGTACAGCAGCGGTGTGGCTGAGGAGGTGCTTTCCTTCCTTCTCCTCTCTGTTGCAAATTAGCTGTTCTTCAAGGGTGGGGAGACTCTTAGCCCTTTCCCTTCGCATTCCAAATCTTCTAAAGCTGCTTTTCCAATGCTGTTCCCCATCCCAGTCCCTTGTAACTTCTGTCTTCTCCCCGACAGGACGCTCCAGGCCATCATGAGGAATGCCCTTCAGCGCTGTAGGGGAAGGAAACTGGTGGCCCCCCAAGCCTCGGTGGGCACTGTGCATCACTCTGAAGAAAACCAGGAGCCTGGGGGCAGCTGCCCTGTGGCATCAGAAGGCTGTGGACAAGCTTCAGGGCTACTTGTGTGACGAGGGGCTAGAACTCCAGGACAAGCCAGACGGGGACTCTCGGGGAGATTTTGTCCGCTGGGCGTGAGAATCGCACCTGCTTTTTCCTCACCGGGACTGGGTCCCCACTTTGAAATTTCTTCCCTGTCTCCCAATATGGTGTGCTTGGAGAAGACTGTGTTTTCACATGTCTCTTCAAAAGCAAGGCTGCCCCCTCCCAAACACCCCCCCCCCCCCCCACAAATTTCTGACCTCTGCAGCACAGAGGGCCACAAGCCTGAAGTAAAAGCGTACTCTCCTGGCCTGTCTCCAGTATTAATTTTTTTTTAAGCTCCATTGACTGGTTTTTGGGTGGCATTCCCTCCCAGTTTGGCTGCACTTTATCTCTTTTACAATACACTCAGTTTCCTTGGATTTAGGGATGTTCCTTGCATACCAAGCCCTCAGGAAGAAAATAATAAGATGCACAAACAATAATAAAGCATCTGTGTTGGTTTCTTTTGGCTGCTTGGGCTGGGTGGCTTGGGAGTGAGGTTTCTTGGTGGAGTTTTGGCACTGGGTTGCCTGTGTGGCCAGAGAGACCACTTTTGTGCTACGTCAGCGCAAATGCTGGGGATTCCGACCCAGCCTCATTGGAAATGCTTGTCCTTTCCTAAATAAACAGATGATATGCTGATCACATTGGATTTCTTGTTTTAATTACAACATCCAGTCATAAAAGAGCAGCAGCAAAGCAGCAGAAGTTTCCCCAGGTTTGCTCAGCAATGACTTTTAATTCTGCAGATCTGGTGCCAGGCACCAGGTGACAACCTGGCACTTTCTCAAGGTCTTTGTTTCTGTATTTCTAGGGTTCACCTTTTCTCTGTCTCTGCTGTGTTGTTCCTTTTTCACATTTCTTGTCATTTGATTATATGTTTTGTAACTGTTTGTACGCCACACTGAATTAAAGCGGATGCCACTCTTTACCTATAAACCGAACGTGCAAATCCCTCTACAGCAGCGGCCCCCAAAGCGCAACGGTCTGCGGATGGGGTCTTGTGCAGCTCTTCTTCACGAGGAGATGGCTTTCGAGGGCCAGTGAAAGTCTCCAGGGTCGAAGGGGTGGTGCGCGAGACCGTTGCCGTGCAAAAAGGCTGCCACTTCAGAGAATTCAGCGCCTCCAGCAGCTGCAGGCAGTGTGGAAGTGCTTCCTCAGTTGCCCTTCAGGGGGGCGGGAGGGGGCTGTGGCTCACAGGGAGGGTGCCTGCCATGATCGGTCTCCATCGTCATCTCCTTGAAAGACTGGAAACATGGGGAGAACAGCGGCTGGTGCTGATGCCACTGAGCTGGATGGAGCCACAGTCTCCTCTTTCTGTCTTCTTGGATCACATCCCCTTTCTCAAGCAGCTCCCCTCTTCCTTCTGGGAGTAAGTTGCCTGCCGAATGCAGTGGGGCTTCTAGCGCATTACTCGGACGTAAAACCCCATTTTGGGGGAGCTGGTGTGGGGGTTGGGTCAGAGTGTTCGACTGAGACTTGGGAGTTCTGGGTTTTATTTCCCACTTGGCTGTGAGGTTCACTGGGTTGACTTGAGGCCAGTCACGGACTCACAGACCAACCTACCTTGCAGGGCTGTTCTGAAGATAAAATGGAGAGGAGTAGGTTCATGGATTCCTTTGAGGAGGGGGAAAAAGGCAGGATCTCAATGTCACACATACCTTGCTGAAGTGGTAAACCTATGACTTGACTGTCTCTACTGCAGGAGGCTGGCAGCACTGAATGTGTCCCTCAGCAGGCGTACGCATTTTTCCCAGAGTGTAGAAAGCCAGCATGTCAGGAAGAGGGATTCAAGGCTAGCTGTCTATGTGCAGGTCTTTGTCTTTCTGTATGGGGGGGCTCCATCAAGGTGCGCTTGCACCTGTAGTCCAGAGGCAACCCAACCCAAGCACAGGTTCACCACCTTGGTGAGGGCCACACTCCGTATTCAGCACAAACACCGTGCAGTGCTGATGCCATGAGACATTCAGAAGTTACCACTATTCTAGTGAACACTTTGCTCCAGTATTCGAATTACTCTGAAGCTCCCACTTGTATGAGTGAGCAAGCTGTCTATTCAGGTCTGTTCCTGCCTCACCCCGACTCAGAGTCGCAGGGCAGTGGGGAGGAAAGGAGGATATGAAATTTTTAGCGCTGAGGAGACAGGCAGGCTGAATTCAAAATGTCTCATGCTCTTAGCTGTCAATAGCCCAGGGCTGCCCCATGGCTCCCTTTTGGGGTGGCCATCCTGGTCAGCTGGTGAGCCCAGGGAGGTGTCTGTCCAGGCAGACCCAGACTCCTTGAGAGGTGCAAGCGCCGGGGCCGGGATGGATGGATTGCCCCCTCCACAGCATGGTCTGAGCAGGGTGTGAGCCTGAAAATCATAGCTAGCAAAAACGTAGCACCGAGCAGGCTGATGAGACACAGAGACGCTATTACTCAAACTGGGCTCTTTAATGGGTATGTTTGTGTGAGATTCACCTTGGGATAGGTCCGCCTGTGTGTAGTTCTGTTGTGTAAAGACTGGCCAGGGTGACATGTCACACCAACAAAAAATGCCCCTTGGAAGCAGGGCAAGATAAAAATAAATAAGTTACCCACACAAAATAGTTCCCTTTGGAAGAGTGGCTAGTTCAATAGTCTTGGGGTTACTTGGGGTTTTGTATTTACAAAGTGTGCAAAATTGTTAATGATTGATTTTGATGCAGGAATTTGATGACTGTGAGCCTTATTTGGTATTGTTTGTACTAGGTATTTTTTGCTTGAGATAAACAGTCGCATCTCCTTTTAGCACCTCTTAATGGCAGCATTTCAGCATCTCCCCTCAGAAATCCCTAAGTCTTGAGAGAGGAAGTTCTGAGTTACTTTGCATGGCTTTTCAGTATCTCCTCACCTGTAGCAGATGGAGAATAAATGATGCACAATTTAGACGCATTGTTGTAACATATACAGATATAATATTCCACTTTTCTTGGCACAGGTTTTAGGGGTACCATATGAAAGAGTTTTTAACATTGAGCAAACAACGTCCAAGAAGTGTCTGGGGAGGGTAACATGATCATAGAAAAAAGAGATTAATATGGTATAGTAGAGACATCCAGAACCTGCTGGAAAGAGTTGATAGGGCAGGCAGGAATCCCAACAGAAAGGAGATTGCAAGAAACAAGCAAACGGGTCCCCTGAGCATGGACAAAATTCCTCTCTCTATTTCTGCAGGTGACTGGAAGGTTGGGCAGCTCAAGGTGGAGCATTGTCAGTGGGGAAGAAATGCACTGGAAGAAACTCCCAGGACACTGCCAGAGATAACCCAAAGGAATGTGCCAGAGGCAGCTCAGATGTTTGGGGGAAGATGTGGATCCAGCAGGACACAGGGTCCTGTAAAAGCTCAAGATGAATCTCACAAGCTCTCTGGTCTTGAAGCAGCCTGTAACAAAACATGCACAATGACTACAAGGGAAGGGAAGTCCTTGTTCTCCAGGTATGGGAGACGATACCATCACACATCCAGATTTATCACCATGCAAGCAGGAGATGATCATTCTGAATGTTTCACCACGGGAAAAAAAATCCAGGAAAATCCCTGTGATCCAGGAGGACATACAGGAGACAAAATGTATAAGCACTCAGAGTGCAAGGAAAGCTTCCATCAGAGATCGTATCTTCTTAGAAATCGAAGCAGCCGGACAGGGAGGATCTCGTATGCTTGTCCCGAGTGTGGGAGAAACTTCTCTCGGACTTCACATCTGAAGTCCCATTTGCACATTCACGCAGGAGAGAAACCGTACAAGTGCTCTGAGTGTGGGTATAGCTTTGTTTGGAGAATCAATTTGGTCAGACATCAGAGAATCCACACTGGAGAGAAACCTTACCAATGCCCTGAATGCGGAAAAAGATTCATACAGAATGTACATTTGATGAGACATCAGAGAATCCACACTGGAGAGAAACCATACCAGTGCCCAGAGTGTGGCAGAAACTTCTCTCGGAAGGATGCTTTGCTTGGACATCAGGGAACTCACAGAGAACTGAGAAGTACAAATGTTCAGAGCATGGGGAAAAAAAGATGTACTGATTAGCCATGCGATAGATATATAGGACATTTACTTAATGTGTAATGTAGGACATTTTTAATCATTTGAATGTGGAGGTACAGGGAATGTGCTCAGATTTGCAGATGACACAAAGTACTGAGCCAAAAACAACGGAATGAAATTCAGTCGGGACGAATGCCAAGTTCTGCATTCTAGGAAACGTAATCCAAATGCATAGTTACAAGATGTGGGATATTTGGCCCAACAATATTAAGGCAAGGAGGATCTCCAGATTCGCTGTATGAGTCAACAATGTGATGCAGCTGCAAAAATAGCAAATGCTATTTTGGGCTGTATTGATATCAGTGTCACTTCCAAATCATGAGTATTAGTTTACTCAGTACTGTTTAGGTCTCATTCTAAGTACCATGTCCAGTTCGGCGCACCACAGTTAAGAAAGAAGCAGAGAGACTCAAAAAGGTTCAGAAGAAGGCAAAAAAGATGATCAGGAGGTTGGAAACAAAGCCCTATGAAGAGATAATGGAAGAACTGAGCACATTTGGCCTTGAGAAACAATGACTTAATGCTCCTCAGGTACTTGGAAGGTTATCACAGAGAGGAGGGCCAGTATCTCTTAATCATCCCAGAATGCAGGCCATAGAATGACTGGCTCGAGTAACAAGAAGTCAGATTCTGGCTGAACATCAGGAAAACTTTTGGACTGCTTGAGCAACAGGACGATGGGACCAATGACTGAGGAGGCTGTGGGTGTTTCCACGCTGGAGGCATTCAAGACTCGGCTGGAGAGTCATCCAAACGCTTTATCTTGGAGTCCTGCATTGAGCAGGGGTTGAACCCAGTGACCTTCTTGGCCACTTCCAACTCTACTGTTCTATGATTCTGTGTTCCTATATACAGTGGTACCTCGGCTCATGAACTTAATCCGTTCCACAACTCCGGTCGCGACCCAAATTGGTCGTGAGCCAAGTCAAATTTCCCCATAAGGTTGAATGTAAATAAGGTTGATCCGTTCTGTAACTATTTTTTTTTAATCATAGAAATTTGAGGCAAAGTGACAACAACAAAGATCGTGGCCATCTCCCCCACAAGCACAGCCATCTCCCCCAGCACGACCACAATTGTGCCCGTGTTCCCTGCACGAGCATGACCACAATCGCGGCCATAGATGGGCGCGATCGGGGGCGCGATCGGGTGCGGGGGAGATGGGTGCAGTTGCGATCTTCCCCCGAAGCGGAGTTCGTGGCCTGAGGCAAAATTTTTCTGAAATTTCTGTTCGCGACCCAATTTGGTTGTGAACTGAGGCGTTTGTGAGCTGAGGTACCACTGTATGAGTGAATGTATTCTGAATATGCTTAAAAACATATTTTAAACCCTTGTTCTTGTCACGCGTTTCTCCTCTACAGTACCACTGTGTTTTGGGAGCTGAACGTACAGGGTTGCGTTATGTTAAGTAGAATGTTGGTCCCTTTTGCCTACACTGGTCTGCTCACGTCTTTGCTGGCCACTTTGCAGGATCTCAGGCAGAGGCTTTTGGCAGCCATTTTGCCCGCGACATTTTAACTGGAAAGGCCAGAAAATGCCATCCTTGGGTGCTGTATGCCAAGCGTGTGCCATTT